GATGAATAGAAAGTTCAAAAGAACAGCATTCATTTCGAATATATATTTTTTGTAACATTAAAATGTCTTTACTGGCACATCTATGTTAAATTTTTACCAACATTTTTGAATGGAAATGTATCAGTTTTGACACAAATATTAAACAGCAAAAACTTTTTAACATTGAAAATAACCAGAAGTGTTTCTCGAGCAGCAAATCAGCATATTAGGATGATTTCTGAAGGATGATGTGACACTGAAGCCTGGAGTAATGATGCTGAAAATTCAGTTTTGATCACAGCAATAAATTACAAATTTACAATATATTCAAATCAGGGGCAATTCTAGGATTTTCATTTTAGGGGGGCTCAGCCCGCAATGAGGATAGAATAAAAGAATAATAAATAAATAAATAAATAAATAAAAGAAGAATATTAGGGCCAAGCAATAATAAAAAAGAAATAAAACCATCTCGAGATTAAAGTCATTAAATTTCGAGAAAAAAATCGAGATAAAAAGTTGAGATTAAACTCATGAAATTTCGAGAATAAAGTCGTTATGTTTCAAGAAAAACTGGTTACATTTCGAGAAAAAAAGTCGAAATAAAATGTTGAGAATAAACTCATTAAATTGCGAGAAAAAAGTCATTCAATTTTGAGAAAAAAGGCGAAATAAAATGGTGTGAATAATCTCTTTAAATTACGAGAAAAAAATTCGTTACATTTCGAGAAAAAAGTCGAGAATAAACACACTCGTGTCATGTTAATTTAATCTCATTGGACTGCGTTGTTTAGTGTCTGCAGTGGGGTGGGTGAGAGAGTAATGCACTGGGGAGTAGCGCTGATACGATCGACTGGGTTCGAGTCTGTTTTTTGCCAAACTCGCTTTTCTTCCTCTTCTCATCACATATCACATCGGAAAAGTGGAAATCAATTGCTTAACGAGTATTTAACGAGTTTTTTCTCGCAATTTAACAACTTTTTTGTCGTAATTTAATGAGTTTATTCTCAACATTTTATTTCGACTTTTTTTCTCGAAATGTAACGAGTTTTTTATCGAAACATAACAACTTTATTCTCAAAATTTAACGAGTTTAATCTCAACATTTTATCTCGACTTTAATCCTCTTTCGTAATAAATAAATAAATAAATACATACATAAAAATATATATATATATATATTTTTTTTAATTTATGTATGTATGCATGTATGTATTTATGTATTTATTTATTTATTGCTTTTTTATGTTTGACTAATAGGGTAAGGTGGTATAGCCTACTAAACTTATTGCAGTATTCCATTGTATTGCATAGATGGGTATAACATTTGAGTAATGATCACAGCAATAAATTACAAATTTACAATATATTCAAATATAAAACAGCTATTTTAAATAGTAGTGATATGTCACAATATTACGTTTTTTTTTCTTCTGTTTATCAAATAAATTAAGCCTGAGCAGAAGAGAATTCAAACAATCTTATAAACAATCTTAATTATTCCAAACTTTTGAACAGCAATGCAGTTCCCCTTGTATTTTAAGAAGTTGTTTTTGCACAGACTTTATTACAATTCAGTGTGAAGCGGGCGTTCTTCTGTGTAACATTGTTCATAAGCCTGCAAGTGGCGCTTACCTGTGTAGATTTCTGCCTCTGACAGGTCCTCTACTCGCTTGTGTTGAATGATGTAATCTGAAACCTTGTAGCCAATCAGGGGTTCCACATCAATCCATTCCAGCGCCACCATCGTACTGGAGGGTTCCAGGTGTGGAGCCAGTCTCAATCTGTGAAAATAAAGACAAGCCAGCATCGTGTGTATGTGTTAGTAGGATTTGACAGAATGGCTCTTTTCCAAAACCCACCGAGCTGCTTAAGCAGGAGGCATTTTAAGACACCATAGATGTGACTCTGAAGCAAAGGCTATTTATTATAAACAGTAGGCAGGATACTTAAGACACTTTGAGGAATTTACTAAGAATGAATTAGACACAAGAGCGACACAAGCTCTCTGCCCTCATTTCAGACAACGACATGAATATGGCCGTAAAATCTGTGCTGAACATAATTTGCATGGGGCAGTTTGGATCTTGTGGGCCGGAAATTTGATGTTTATTCCATTCACAAAAGAGTCTGAAAATAGATTTTTTTGTTGGTTTTTAATTAATATAAACAAATAATTAATTTATTCATCAAGGATGCATTAAAGTGATCAAAAGTGACAGTAAAGACATTTATAATGTTACAAAAAAAAGCTTTTTTTTTTCAATTTTTTTATCTTTAAAAAAAAAAAAAATTATCAAATAACCCGAAGAAAAAACAAGTATCAGATTGCACAAAAACATAAGCAGCACAACTGTTTTCAACATTGATAATAATCAGAAATGTTTCTTGCGCAACATATCAGCATATTAGAATGATTTCTGAAGGATCATGTGACACTGAAGACTGGAGTAATGATGCTGAAAATTCAGCTTTGAACACAGGAATAAATTACATTTCACAATATATTTGCATAGAAAACATCTCATAATATTACCTTTTTGCTGTATTTTCGATCAAATAAATGCAGCCTTGGGGAGCAGAAGTGACTTCTTTGAAAATATTTTGTATATTTCATTATGTGACTCAGCATTTAATGTAGTGGACATACTGACTGAGTCACCAAACGATTGCCTTGATGAGACGCTGCCTCACAATTTGGCAGTGAACATGAGGCATATTTGGCAGCATCATATGTCTTGCCTAAGTCTAGGATGCCTTAATACTCTGCCAAAAAAGAGATGCCAGGAATCAAGTATTGCATAAAGATGCTTGCAGGTGGGGGTAACTTACACGGGCCGCCGCAGGGGGCTACAGTTGGGAAGCCCGTCTTTGCCAAGCGCCGTCAGGTCACAGCGGCACCAGTTCTCGATGACATCACCCTTCCCCGCACACCAGTATGAGCTCATCATGGCACTTTTGAAGGCCTGCAAAATAAACGGCACAGGTGAGAAAAACGCAATTATCTCCACGAGAAAACGTCCTTCTGCCGTACTCGATGAGTCACCACGAGTCGCCAACAACACGCTCTGCCACCTCCACTCAAAAAGTAGTGTATCTCTGTGAAGTTAGGCAGGCTAAGGCCATCTCAGGCTGCTTTGTACAGACAAGAACCTGACAAGATTTAATTGGAAACTGTCCCAAAAAAGGTCAGGCCACGTGTGAATGTCAAGAGACTCCGTCTCTGGGGCAATAATAAGACATGTGCGGGGCAGAGAAGGAGGGGGCAACTGAGACACAGCCGAGGGACGGGACGCAGCGATACGAGAGGTCGTGACTCCTTCTAAAGCCGCCTTTCCACTATTACCGATAGACAGGAAGTAATTATCTTCCAGTGCAGAGTAGTCCGGGAGCTACGTTGAGTACTGACTAGCTGTCGACCGGCTGAAGTGAACTCTGCATATTTGGTGATTAGATTAAATGCTTTGGACGATTCTGCTTCAATTGAATGCAATGTATCCGGTGTGCGATCTGTCAGTTGCCCAAGCCGCGACGCAGATCTTCGGAAAGAGTACTGAAATCTCTGGATTAAAACAAGTGAAGAAGAAGCAGAAACAAGCGACTATGTAAGCAGATGCATAGGCCTATGTAAAATAATGCCATTATCAAACATTAAACAGCACATAAATCAAAACTGCCTAACATTACCAAATTAAATGCCGACTCAGGAAGTGCTTTGGATCTGTGTTTCATCTGTGTTTTCATCACAGATCCAGACGTAGTCTTTGACAAAAACATTTTCTCAGCTTTTTGCTTTTTAAATGAAACCTACACACATTCAAATGTTGATAAAAAAAAAAGAATGCATGAAACTAGAAGTAGACGTGAGATATGGCTGTATATCGGCACTGCTGTGATTCAGCCGTAGAAGGTAATCACCGTAGGTAATCACAGTGTGCCGATATACAGCCATATATCACGGTTACAAGTGTGATATTGCGTTTATACAACAGTTCGACGGCACGAGTGTATAAATTAATATGAAACAACGGAGTGTCTTTAAAAACCCTCTTTTGTGTGGAACTACTTCCTTCTGCCACAGATTCAAATCTCAGTTTGACAGTTTAACAGCTGAGCTCAAGATCCATTACTAATTTGAAAACATCACTTTGGAACTAGTAACGAAGGAACGCTGAGTTGCTTCATTAAAAGGTTATTGTATTACTGTATTAAAAGCAGTATTATGTGGAGTCGAGTAGAGAGAGAGAGAGATGGACTGAGCGAGTGTGATTACCTGCATCTGATACAGCATTCATTATTCATCTCATATTCACAATAAAACATCAGTTTGAATGTCTGCTGAGGAAAGCAATATCTTTGTTGTACTGACCTTTCATCTGTTAAGGGTGATTTCCGATGACAGCGCTGCTCGGTGCATTTGTTAACTGCGTCTTACAAGCTGTTGTAGAAAATAAAAATAACTTCCGTCTCTTTCAATATAAAAGTCTTTACTGCTGACTCACTCATAATAACTGTCTCTTGTCGTCATCTAATAGCGGAACAATGTAACTAAAATCACCATCATGAACACACACTGTTTCCAAATACTAAATACTAATACAGAGTTATGGCATGAAACTCTAGATGGCGCAGTCCAATAGGTCTAACTCAATCTGAACTAATGACATCATTATCACATGACACAGCTGATTGGTTTTCTCCTGTATCATTAGCCAATGAGGTCGCTGCTCAACATTCAAATATATCACTAGTGCTTGCCGTAAGAGTTGCAGCTTGCTTCAGAAACCCTCCACCTTCCCCAGCTCCACCTGTAAAGATCTGCTACGAGGTGATTCATGTACGCTATATGGGGGTTATTTCATGTATGTTATATTTGCAGCAGCAATATTTCTTACATGCTCACAGCAACAGCTTGTGGATGTATTGGCAGTAGCAAGTCTCAGTACTTGCTCTGCCGCAGCAGCAGCGTAGCAGATCTAATCCGCCAAGACCAAATACATTAACATTGTCATGTGCATTACCATGCCAATCCCTCCGAGAGTTGTCATGACATAACTATTATTTATATAAAATATTATTTACTGAATAATAATATTTAATAAACATCAACAACAGCCATCATAACAGTTGCTAGACAATTCAGTCAAAAGTACAAAGGCAGCGCTCTGATATACAGCATTGAATTTACATAAAATATAACGTGATGACATTTTGCTTTCTGCTAAAACTATTTGCTCTGAAACAAATAATAGATTAATGAGACCAAAGACTGCCCGTTAGATTTACCCCAAACACATTATATCTCATGTTTAACCACTATAGAGACATCACAGCCAGTGGCAAATTCCAGAAGATTTGGCCGAGGTGAGGCTGCTCTCTGTGGGTTCATGAGTGTTGAACGGCCGCTGATGCCCTGGAGCTCACATCTCCGAAAACGCTGAAGCAAATTTTCGAACAGACGTTATCTTTATAAACAAACCGCATATTTTAAGTCGAAACAAGTACATTATCACATAAAAAACTCTTAAAACTACATTCCGTGACACAAAAAGAACTGTTCCGAGGACCAGAAAGAACTGTTGTATCAATTCTGGCAAACAGCTTTTTTTTTTCTTTTTTTTTCAGCAGGAGAACAGCAGCAGAGATTGTCTTACTACTGGGAGATGAGTGCGTCTGTATTACTTACTATTGGAGAAAGCGTAATGGTCGACTTGGATCACGTGTGCCTTAATAACCAATCGCATTAAGGCAGTCGCACACCGGATGAGAAGTGCAGCGTCGTTTCACAACGCGTCACACCACGTATTTAAAATTCAAACACATTGTTTTCTATGAGTGTACGCACACCGGCGGCACCGTTCGGAGTCTGTCCGCGGCGCCCAGCTACGTCGTGTTGTACTTGTTGTAGAGTTACTCTAGACGCAGCTTGGCGCTGCGCTTCTCATCAGGTGTGCGACCGCATTTACAGCCTTGACGTCATTAAATTTTAGTCAGAGTTGTGCGACACTCAATCGCCATTTATGGATACCTTAGGAATGAATGAGAAGTGCCATAAGCTGAATCGCACCTGTCGCAAAAAGTCAGTAGGCACGTTTCCATTACAGATTTGCGCAAAACTTTGGCGATATTTTATAAATGTCGATAAAAAAGTATTGCAAATTGACGACGTTTCCATTAACCAATGTTATGCGACTAAAACGTAACCTTTTGCCTCTCGCGATAAGTCATGGCAATGGATTTAGGCTATATTTATTCAAAGGAGGCGTATAAGTGTATATTTACAGAAGCAGCACAGAGAGCCGCTTCAGAAACGTGCGTGGCGCGTGAGAGCGGCCACATATGATGTGTTTATTGGAGGTTATAGTACATTGAAGAATGATCATATTAATTTTTACATACACCATGTGACCTGTAAATGCGAAAAAGCCGTTTCCATTGCAGTTTTGTGAATTATTCCTTTTTCGCATTGCCTGAAATACCACCTCATGCGAGCGTAAAAACTTTTTTGCGATATATGGGCGTTTTTGCGAAATTGACGTGTTTCCATTAGGCATATTTTCAATTTGCAATTTGCAATTTCAATTTGCACAATTTGAAAGGTAATGGAAATGCACCTAGTGACTTGTCTTATAAAACTGCATTTTTTTCAGTGTAAACTCTAAAAATAGTTATATCAAAACGTTTTGTTTAGTGTAAAACATGTTGAAGATTAGCCGATAGGCTGTCGATTCTTTAATTGATAAGCTGTTTCCTCTAAAATGCTGTTTATTCAGCTTAGTAAAGCCACTCCTCCATTGACATCCATTTAAAAAAAAAAAAAACAGCCTCTGGTCTCCTCTCACGTATTGCCAAAGCAGAAGCGTTAACATTAGCCATTACGCATTTTTAGCTAAAGGTTGCAGGCTTGCCTTCTAGTGGCTTTGACAGCAGTCAGAAAGTTCAGCCTTCCTTACAGGCAGCAGCACAGTGCTGAGGAAGCCGCTCCTTTGCCTGATAACATCAGCAGGTTTCTGCTGCCAGAACTCACCCCTTATTTATGCACAGGCAACTCTCTTTAAACGGCCTTGATGAATGAGTCGTTATTACAATGGCCCCCATTTTTCATGAGCTGAACTCAAAGATCTAAGACTTTTTGTGTTTGGGATGCTCTGGAATGGCGTATACGACAGTGTGTTCCAGTTCCTGCCAATATCCAGCAACTTCGCACAGCCATTGAAGAGGAGTGGACCAACATTCCACAGGCCACAATCAACAACCTGATCAACTCTATGCGAAGGAGATGTGTTGCACTGCTTGAGGCAAATCGTGGTCACACCAGATACTAACTGGTTCTCGGACCTCTCCGGACCCCCCAATACAGTAAAACTGCACATTTTAGAGTGGCCTTTTATTGTGGCCAGCCTAAGGCACACCTGTGCAAGTACATAGAAAAAGTCTTAGATCTTTGAGTTCAGCTCATGAAAAATGGGGACAAAAATAAAAGTGTTGCGTTTATAATTTTGTTCAGTGTATATGGGTCAATGACGTGACGCCTACATTTTTTGTCCGATTGCATTTTTTTCAGTTAAAAATTGGTTTAAATGCATAAAAAAGATGCCATATATATGAAGGATCTCTCCCAGTATTCAGATTAATTGTATGCACTATTTGGCATGATTTACAAAGTGTTTTGTAATCTTGTGTAAAATTGCAAAGCATTTGTATTTATATTTCCATCATAATATACAAACAAACTTTGTCCGATGATTTCCATTTTATGAAATACCATGTGGTGCGACCATCAATAAACTACCATTTTGGGACTTTTATGTTGAAATCCATTCAATAGGACTTTGCATCATATACCAATTTGCTAAGGACCCATGGAAGCATCAAGCAGGTTTAGAAGTCTTTCAAATTTGGAAAAAAATAACCTTTTTAACAGCTGGTATGTAGTTACCACATTTGGATATCATGTGGTATGACC